TGAATTTCCTCAATTAAGGAAAATGAATATTTTTAATTTGACCTTTTAAAAGGCCTGAAAAGATAACAGGGAGACAATGACAGCATTTGGAATTTTGGAGTAAAGAAGCAAGTTCAATTCTTGGTATGACACGATGTTTGCTGGGTGACCTCGAGCCAGTTAAATAGCCTGTGGAGTTCCTTTTGTTCATTTCCTTTTGAAATGTACATGTTGAACACCTGCCTCCACATTGCTCTCACCAGTAAAATGTGAGTTCCCCTAAGTACTCCAGGTAAGGGTCAAATAAACTGAGTGTGAAAGTATCGTGTGAAGCCATAAAAGTCCTACGCAAATGTTATCATTAATCTAAGAGCCTGCCTGGGTTGTTTGCACAACATTCAGAGGCTTTTCATCAAAGAAACTTTTGTAAATAGCATATTTGACAGAATAGACCATTACAATTTAAAATAAAATAAAAACTCAGGGGCCAGCTGAGTGGCACATTGGTTAAGAGTTGGCTTGGGATGCCAGCTCTGAGCAGCAGAGCCCCAGTTCAATCCCACATGAGGGCCAGTGACACTGCGCCCTCTACAGCTAAGATGGTGAACCAACAGCTCAACCTGGAGCTGGGCTGCCATGAGTCGCTAGTGATGGCGTAGGCTGCAGTGAAGCTGCAGTGGGCTGCCATAAGTGTGAGCGGCTGGCAGCCGGCGTGAGCTGCCAAGAGCTGCTGTGAGCAACCGTCCAGTGGCTGGCAACCAATCTGCCTCAGCCAGGAAGAGCACAATGATAAATACCAACACGGGCCAGTGAAGCGACGTCCTCCACAACTAGATTGAAGAACAAAAGGACAGCAACTTGTCTGTTCCCCTTTCCCTGATTCCCCAACACTGTTCCACTCCCCCATATCTACAATAAAATCTTTAAAAAATAAAATAAAATAAAATAAAAACTCAGGAAACATTTTATTATAAAATAAGATCAGGCCATAAAAACAAATTTGGGCAGAAAATGGAGAAGAGACAGGAATTTGTAATTTATGCTAAGAATTTAATTGCAGAAAATATCTCATTTAAATAATGCTGTTTGCTTTCTTCGTCATTTATGAATTAGGATGCATTTCAAAAGCTAGATTACATGAAGAGATAAAGAGCATCACTCTATTATCTCTACCCCCTGCAATATCAGCGTTTCTATGAATATAGTACTACATGGAAATACTGATTATTATTCTAATCGGTGGCCTTTAAAGCTAAATGAACAACACAGCTTTATTGTTAAACAACTACTTATTTTCCTACAACTTTGCCTTAATACAGAATATGACAGAGCATGAAAAGCAAAAATTGAGTCCATTTATGGATGCTCCTTTATCTATGTAACAGAAACATTTGGGTTCCTATTGCTTTATTTTAAAACGAACACTTTCACTTTAATGAGCATATTATCTTCCACCTAGAAAACTGTGTTGTAACGGCAAGGTTGGAAATGACCTAGAAACAATCGTGTCAGCCCTCCCTGTGCCTTTCCCTGCCCCCTCCCCAACTGAAACATTTCTCTGTGTTAAAACAGGCTGATATTCCAGGATTTGGTCTGTCGACTGCCTAAGTGAATGCAGAGAGTCTCTTATGTTAGGGATTTTAGTGAGTCAAGTACATAGTAGAAAAGCTTCTATTTTTGATTCCTCCATCAACTCATTTTGAAACTCAGACAAGTCATTTACCTTTTCTGTGTCTAGAAAGAATCATTTCTAAAATAGTGATAAAACCACTTTCTAGGCCATATGTCAACAGATGTTAGTGAGAACTGGATGTGAAACCTACACAGGTAAGGATGTTTTAAGTAAATTCATTGACTATAAAGCTGGGGTTCCGAAAATTTAAAAAACAGATCTTCATCCATTAAAATATAGTATAAAATATTTATGTTTAAATGAAGTACAATAGAAACAGGAATAGTTTAAATTTAGTGGTTAAGAAAAACAAAACCTTCTTCATGTTATTTATATATATTACATGTATGTACACAGTATATAATTCAGGGACTTCGATCTTACTATCTGAAGAATGTGAATGTTTTTTTGAAAACACACAACTACATTTCAATTGAATGAAAACATGTTAATAATTTTCTTTTCCTATAATGGCTAATAGCAAACAAAAGAGGAAAACTGAAAATGTGTTAAGACCATGCATTTCATAATCTCCAAGAAGAGACAAGATAACTTAGTGGTGACAAGCTGGCCTCTGTCATCAGACTGATGTAGGTCTGAATCCAGGCTCCCCCACTTCCTAGCTGTGTGATCTGGGACAAGTTACTTCACCTCTCTGTGCTTCTACTTTCTTATCTGTTACAAATCACAGTCCTAGCAAATAAAAAGCCTTCTGAACTGGGAAGCCTGGTTCCCCCATCTGATCTGCAACTAACTAGTTGTTGGGACCAGGTCAAACCACAGTCTCTCTGGACCCCAGCTGGACATTAGCATCCTTAGTATTCCCCGCAGCTCTGACCTAGAATTCAGAACCAATTTCTAACTTTCCTTCAAAGACTCGCCAGAATGTCTCATGCCGCCTCTCTTCCATCATCACTGCCTATATCCTAGCCCAATTCCTCTATTCACGACAGTGCTCATGCAGAATTTCTCAAAGAAACAGAACTGCTAGGGTTACTACACATTTCCTCCCAGACTTAGTGTCCCCCCACAAGAGGCAATTCCTGTAATACCACCACCCACCACTAGGTGCCACAGGATTCAACATTTATTCCTGGAGCAAACACACTGAGCATCCATTCACAAAGCTTCATGCTAAGCCCTGGAGATACAAAGATAAGTCAGACACAGATACTCTCCTTCAGGAGCCCAGGAGTGGTGACAGACATGTCCACAAAAGCAAGACATGGTAATGTGTGGGTGTCCAGTTATGATAACACAGAGCAGGAGGTGGCAGCAACTGAGATCAAAGCAGAAGTATGAACAGGAGTCTGGGACAGGCAGGTAGAGCCATTTGAGCCTAGGTGACAACACAGGCATGGACATCTGAAGCCCCCAAAGTGGAGACACTCGAAGAAAAAACAAAAACAAAAACAAACAAACAAAAAAAAACCATGAAGATGACCTAATCTCGAGATGATTAAATGGGAGAATAGCCAAATGAGGAGAGTGAATTAACAGATTCACACCTGTCTGGATTCATATGACTTGGTTTACTTGTTTATCAGGAGCCTCCTCCACTAGAAACCCAGTTCTTCCTGGGCAGAGTTTTTTCTTTGCCAGTTGGGTTCACCCTCTATCCATGGCACCTAGAACAGGGCCTGGCACATAGTAAGTACTCAGATGTATTTTAATGAATGACAGAACTGATAAGATTCCACCAAAATGCAGCATACCCTTTCTGGAACATTCATCTAGTTAACAAGCCATGAAAACTGCCCAACAAAGAA